GGAAGTGCCTGCACAATCTGGGCCTGTGCCCACATCTTTCTGGAGAAGTGCTGCACCCAGAGGCCAACAGGTGATGGGAGGGACCATACAGGCACCTAAGACCTGATACCAACCTGAACATCTGACCCAGCTCCACCCTCTCCTTGAGTCACTGAAATGAAAAAGCCTGGGAATGGAAGGAGTTGTAGGGACCCCCAAGTCCAGCTTCCTTCTTGCCCACCATCTCCCAGCAGGTCACAGGCAGAGCCAGAATATGCCCCAACGACTGTTTGGCTCCAGAGCACAGGCTCAATGTGACCCCCAACCTGAAATGTTTCCGGGGGGCCAGTCATGATATAAGGTTGAGTGGGTTGGGAATAAGATAACCATCTGGGGACTAGGAGACTGTAGGCTCTAGTCTAAGGCATTCAAATACACACACACAAAAGGGCCAGCCAAATAAAGCATATTTCTGACCTAGGTGAGTGGGTGAGGCCCTCAGGTTGTGAGTTTTCAACAACTACCTGAAGGAATGTGTAGCCCCCTAAATCAGATGTCTGCCGAGTACAAATCTCCAGAAAGAGGCTTTAGGACTGTCTGCAAAGTGGTCTCGAGCAAATGGTGGCGTGGCCTTGGCTCAAACCCTTCCAGAGATGGAGTGCTCATTACTTCTCAAGCCAGCCCCCACACCTGCAGGAGACCCCTGATGGAGTCAGGAAGCCTAGGGTAGGAATCCCTCATTATGACAACGTAAAATCTGAAATGTTTATGGAAATCAATTCAAGACCACTGCGGAAACATTAGCAAATACTGGAAAAGTAAAACTATCTATACGTTCCGTACTTCCCCCTCCTTCCAGCCCCACTCTGAAAGTGGCACTGTTGATACCTCAGTGTATACTCAAACTCTATCTTCTCATTTATGTAAAAATCTCTTGTCTCTGGCTCTGTGGCCTGTAAATTCAAGTGGTGATGCTTCGTGCAGCACTCACACCACACTGCTTTTCCAGCAGCCTAAAGGGGTATACCACGCCACAAGCACGCTTAGCCCTGGGTTTCAACACACGTGGTCTGCCCTGTGCAGGCCCCTGGCTCCCCAAGCTTCTCTAAAGACAGGCAGTGTAACCTTCTTACTCATCTTCAGGGACTCTACAGTGCCAGCCACACAGTAAGTGCTCGATAAAAGTATTTCCAACCAGACCACCCTCCACCCCCGCTACAACAGCCCCGCCCTCTCAGCAGAGAGAGAAAACGAGACCCGGGAGGTGAGCGCCTCTCCATCTCTAGGGTAACCGAAGTTAGAGCTGGGAGTGCCCACGCATGCGCACAGTCGCCCTTCCTTCCCGTAACCTCAAGAAGAATGCAACCGGTTTAAAAAAAAAAAAAAAGGAGTGCCAGAATCCGAGTGCGCATGTGTAGTTACAACAACACCAAGGCCGCCTCTGCCTTCTGTAAATCGGTCCGCAATCTCCTCTATAAACCTTGACCGGAAATAGTGCCCATTTCTGTAAACTTGACCTCGTTAACCAATCGTTGCTGGGGAGAGGAATGACAGCAGACCGTGATGGGCCGTCTCATTGGCTGGTTTGGGATACTGGGCGGGGCCAAGGGTCGTGGTGTGGCCAAAGAAAGGAGGCTCCAAAGCCCGGCAAAGTCGCAGCCCTGGGGGGAGGCGTGGCCCCGGGGATGGCCAAGAAGGTGGAGAGGGGGTGGGGCGCGGTCCCGGGGCGGGGCCGGGGCGGGGCGATCGTGGGTTCAGAGCACTGCGTTCGGCGGCCGGCGGCGGGAGATCGCTGGCCAGCGGCACGCCACACTCGCTTGGTTGGGGAGATCGGCGCTCAGCCGGTAGGTGACTGGGCGGGGCCGCGGTACCTGAAGCTGGGCACCGAGGGAGAGACCGGGATGGGTCGTCCCCCAGTCCCGGGCCGGGCTGCGGCCTGACCCGCCGCGCGGTAACGGGGAGGATCTGTAGTCCGGCATTGGCTTTCGGACCCACTCGCGCCGGATCCTGGGCGCCCGGGCTGTCCGCCCGCGCGCCTTAGCACGCGCTGCCAGCGCCGCAGTCGCCCGGAGCCTGCAGGCCGCGCACCTCCGCAGGCCACACGTTCGACTCGATCACGCATAGGGGCGCTCTGCTTCCCCTTCCCCAGTACCCTTGCTGCCGTGCGCAGCTGCCCCAGCACCAGGTCCGCCCCTCATGCTTTGCGCCCTGGATGACCCCCTGAAGAAGTGCGCACTCCCACCTGTTCTGGCCTTCCCAGGGAAGTGCTTGATGTCACACCCCATCAACGGCCACCCGCAGCATCCTCCCTTCTCGCTGACCGCGACCCATCGGGACTTTACCTGTCGGTTCAGATGGAAGCCCATCATGGCTCTGGCAACTTGCAGCCATTGGGCACCAGGCAGAAAGAGGCCAGTTGTACAGTGCAGATGCCCACCTGCCCAGGAACCTCATTGTTGCTTGCTAACTTCAGAAAAAGTCTTTCCTTCCAAGTTGAAGTTAAAATGTTGCTCTCAGCCCTCAAGGGTGGACTGGGGTGTGAATGAATTAATGTGAAGAGGATGAATGGAGAAAAGATACAGAAATCAGTGGTGTCAATGACAAAATTATTTTTGTTAACTAGAGACAGTGAGCACCAATGACCGATTAAGGACTCTAAAAATGAATGAAATTAAATGATGAGATGGAACCATGAAGCAAAATAGCAGACTAAAGTTTATTCCAGGAAAAATGTTGAAAACCCTGTGACTAAAAAAATAGTCTTTCTAAAAGATTAAAGGAAGATAGTATCTTAATATTAGTAATGCATTTTTTTTGCTTATTATCTTCATACCTGTAATCTTTTCCCTTCAGCCCTTTGTGTTCTATGATTGTCCAGTTTTATTGGTGAGGTACCTGAGGTGATAGGCATACATCTTGCCTGATGCCACTTAGCTAACTGAGAGCGGGTGTCTCAGACTCCTAAATCGGGACCATGTAATAGCATTCAGATGGAGAAAGGATGGAGAAATGTTTGGTGTGAATTTATACTCTTAATTGAGAGGACTCTTGCAAGATGCTTGTTGCTTAAGATGTATTTCAGTTTTCTCTTGATGTTTCTAAAGTACTGTCAAAGTGAGTTTTTGGAGTGAAGCCAGGCTTCTGAGTTTCTCAAACACCTTTGAGACATCCTCATTTATTTGGAAGGGTGTGATGAACTTCTCAGAAGATGTCAAAAGTTAGGGTGTCTGCCTTTAAGTTTAGAAAGAAGTACCCAAGTATATGTACCCAGAAATATAATATGTACCAGTTTGTGAAATCAGACAGCAATAAGCTGCTAAGCTTTAGGTCATCTTCTGATTGTTTTCTGATTTTAAGGAGCAGTTCTGAAGGGGGTTTTTGCCTCTGGTGTTGTCTGTTAGAGTTTGTGGGAGCGGCACCACCGAGACCCTGCCAAATGAGCCTTCATCTATTAAACAAAAATGTCTGGTTGAGCCGTTTCGCCTCAACAGATGGTAGTTTGGTTCCTCATTTTGGTCTCCTGGTGAACACTGACTCCTTTGTGATCTGCTTGGAGTGTTTATCTATCACTTAATGCTGAGAAGAGGGCCAGCCCTGATTGGTTGTCCAGCCCTAGGTGACTGTTGTGAGCTTTTTGGTAAGTGATAAAGAATCATCTCTGGCTAGGATTTGGTGAGAGACCTGTAGAGGTGAAAAAGAGATAGAAACTTTATCAGAGGTTGTTTACTTGGGTTTTGACCCCTCTTAAGAGTGTTGTATCACTTTGGTCTGTCAGTTTTAGTTTCCTATTTTCTTCCTGTCTCAGTGGACAGCACATGGACTTTCCTAAGAGGCCCGCCTGGCTTGTGAAGAGCTGACAGATTCATCCTGGTTAGCTTCACAGATTTTCTTTCTGGGTAAAAGCAGAAATCTTAAAACTAAATTCTGTCCTAAATAAAAGGTTGCAATCAGCTTGATACACATACAACCAGTATATTTCTACTGATGGCTTCCATAATCTCATAGCTGTTTTTTTTTTTTTTCCTGGCAAAAGGTTAAAATGCAACTAAAATTATGCTTTCGTGATTAATAAGTCACTACCGCAGTTGTGTCTGATGCTTCCTGTTTGCCCCATTTTAGTATTTCAGTTAAACTGGAAACATCTGAGCATTATAGGCACTTTTGATGGCACCAGTGTGAAACTGGTGGAGAGGAGGACAATTCAGGGAGTGGATTGGGGAGCCATATGGATAAGTCAGCCCTCTGGGCTGGGCATACCAAGATCCCGAATAAGGGAAAGGAATGGGGGCTGAGCGTCCTCCCTGGGTCGGGTGAGCATTTAAAGTGTGAGAGCTCCGAATTGACTTGGTGCTGCTGACAGCAATAGATTAGAAAGGGAAGGCCAGATAGGCGTTTGCGGAGATTGTATAGGAGAGCATTTCTGCTGCACTGGGGACATTAAGGTGCGGGGTCCTTAGCTCTGGGCTTATTTTACTGCCCAAGTGACAATGCAGAAAAAGTAAGTTTTCCTCAGTGGCCTGTGTATTCTTCTTTGTATTCTGGTTTAAAAGATCCTCTTTCCTTCTTGCTGCTTTAAATCTTTATTTATTTATTTATTTTATTTATTTATACATACATATTGCAGATTGAACCCAGGGGTGCTCTACCACTAAACTATATTCTGAGCCCTTTTTGTTTTTGATTTTGAAACAGAATCTTGCTAAGTTGCCCAGGCTAGTCTCAAGCTTGCAATCTCAGCCTCCCAAATTGCTGGGATTATGGCTGTTTGTTTTACATTCTTTAATCCCTTAGCACCCTGTTAAAAACCCCTTGAAATATGTGCATCAGGAGTAATTTTGTAGCCAGTCTTTATATTTTCTTACAGTGCTTATATGAAGAAACAGAGATTAGAAAAGTGAAGCCAATAAAGAGAAATAGAGTAGACAAGACTACTCAGGGAATCAATGTCTTGCCCAGGTCTAAACTCACTTTTTCTGACATCTAATTCCTGTCAACTGCTTTTTTTTTTTTTTTTTTTTGAGAATTTTAATATTTTATTTTTTAGTTTTCGGCGGACACAACATCTTTGTTTTTTTTGTATGTGGTGCTGAGGATCGAACCCGGGGCGCACGCATTCCAGGCGAGCGCGCTACCGCTTGAGCCACATCCCCAGCCCGCAACTGCTTTTTCTAACTTGCTCAAGAAAGGATCAGGATTTGTGTTTGTTTGTTTTTTCCCCAAAACGTGACAATGTTTGAACCTAACTAAACCAAGCCAACTTTTCTATTGTAGCAATTATATAATTGATATATATAGTCAATTTTCTATTGATTGATATTGTTAATTATTCAAGGGCTAAAAGATAAATAGCCTATTATCTGGACAAGTCTGCCTATGCCCATTTATTTCCCAGAAATTAAGACAGAGAGGTCAAGTGATCTCTTCAAAGCAGTAGAGCCATTCCCGGTGTCCCTGTGTCAAGTGTGGTAGTTTTGGGCTGTCAGCACACACAGACTGGGGGAGGCGGGGTCTGCTGCTGTCTGCCTGTGTGTCCTCAGACAAATTGCTTCACTTCTCTAAGCATTGGGTGCCTGGTCTGTAAATGGGATAGGATACTTCATGGACAATTTTAAACAGAAAAAAACAGAGGTGGTACTATAGTGTTTTGCTCAGTGCCAAATTGTTGTTGTTGTTGTTGTTGTTGTTAGTGGTAGTAGTCGTTGTAGTAATAGCAGTAGTAGTAGTTGCTGATTACTACAGTGTGACTAGACCTGTTTTTTGTAAGATGATGTCAAGAAGAGTCAGATTGCCTGACAGGACAAGGAGTCATTTTCTCAGTAGGACCTCCAGGAGGCTGTTTCTCCGGCCTAGAGGTTTCAGCTGTCAACGTTCTCCCAGTCTTACACTAAATTCTGCCCTTACCACACTCTAAATGAGCCTTAAAAGGCCCAGGCTCTGTGCTGTCATAGTTGGCGATCCTAAGCAGTGGGCACCATCAGGGCTTCCCAGGACTTCCAGCCTCTGGCAGAGCTGGGCCTGTCTAGGGACTTCCTGCTGTCCTGCATGTAGCTAAATAGGTTCCAGCACTAACTCTGAGGTGGAAAAAAAAAAAAAAGAATGCTGTGTGGATATAAGTCAACAAGGACTTGATCTTTTGGAGGTGGGAGGCAACATTTGGTTCTGTAGGGTAATATTCCCACCACCACTTGACACCCCAGACCACCCCCTCTTTCTCCCTTAGAAAAATATCTTATCAGCTTATCTCCACTACTAGGTCTGGGAGCCCTGGATCTGTAGAGTCAGGACTTATAGATTTCCCTTAAATTCTCACAAGAAAAAAAATATATATATTAGACTTTAAATTTTTTCTTCTCCCTGAATATAAAACAAAAATATAAACTCCCACCAGATGGATGTTCCCTTTAAATAACATTTTGTTTTCTCTTGGGGAAGCTGACTTGATGGCCGAAGAGTCATTTCTAAAGTGAACCTAGTTTTTAGAAAAAATAGATCACCGGATGTCAGGCTTCATGTGGAGCTCGGTTCAGATGAAAATGAAAGCAGCAGGCTCGCAGCAGCCCTCCCTTGACTTCAGGCTGGAGGCGAGAGGCAGTGTTTGGACCCTGCTCAGTCACTGGCTGGCCCCACACTGCATTTGATAGGTGCCTTAGTCATTTTCCAAGCAGCTTTGCTTAGGTGAGCAGAGCACTTTCTCTGGAAGGTGAGTCACCCGTGCAGGGGTGTAGGTGACGGGTGATTTGTTCCCCAGCACAGTTGCAGAGGAAGTCCTGAGCAGACCTTGTTGAGAAGCTCTCTGCCAAAGATCACTCTCATTCCAGCCCAAGGGCTAGGAGGCAGGGAGCAGGAAGCCAGCGGGAGGCTCTGGGCTTGCTGACTGACAGATGGCTCCCCTGGTGGGGGGTCATGTGAACAAGGCACAAAGCCCAGGTCAGCAGTGTCCCTGTGCTCCTGAGTTGAGCCACCTTGAGGGTGGAAAATGGCCCACTTCCAGGGACAGTCAGCAAAGCAGCAGGAGGGGAGCTTTGGCCCCAGGGAGCTGGGAAATCCCTTGGCAGAAAGCAAAGAGATACAAACTGTACTTTGATATGAAGGACCTTTTGGGGAACCCTCTCCCCACTGCCTTCCTTCTAACTACCTGAGTTGGAGGCTTGCAAGAGCTCTGGTGATTGGAGAGGCTAGATTTCACCCTGACCTTGGGAAACTTTTGGAATTCTAAGCCTGCCTCCACCTGGTTGTCTGCGTTTCCAGGTCCAGTGTTTAGACTCAGAAAGAAGGGGCAGGTGGAACACCTGAGCCATCCTTCCCTCCGAGTTTCTGGTGGCTGCAGCTTCTGCTGACTCTTTTCCCACTAAAGTCACCATCAGGTGTCCATCAAGGTAAAGGTTTGTTCATATTCTCTGTACTTGATTAATGCGGTTGGTGTTGAGTTGCACTGCTGATGGGTCAGGGACATCTATAAGCACAAGGTGGCCTTGACTTTATGGAGCTGCAACAGAGGAACTGTTATTCCCTAGCAAGTGTTCCAGTTTCCTGTCTCAGTCACAGACTCCTCCCCAGCTCCAGTGCCCACACTCCACCAGTCTAGCCTAACCAACCGTCACTTTGGGCTGGCATGGCTAATATTCTTAGACCCTAACTACTCTGGTAAGAAAATGGTTAGGCCAGGCACCATGGTGCATGTCTGTAATCCCAACAGCTCAGGAGGCTGAGACAGGAGGATCGCAAATTGAAAGCCAGCTTCAGCAATTTTATGAGGCTCTAAGCAACTTAGCAAGACTCTCTCTCAAAATAAAAAATAAAGTAAGTGCTGGGGATGTGGCTCAGTGGTAAGCACCCTGGTTTTAATCCCTGCTACCAAAAATAAAAAAATCAAAATTTAAAAAAATAAAGAAGAAAGAACTATTAGCATTTGTACCCTCCCTGTTTTGCAGAAGACAAAATGGTGGCCTAGAAAAACTGAGCCAGTTGCCAAAAGATGCCCAGCTAGTTAATGGCCGAGCCTGAACTAAAACCTGGGCTCCTTTGAGCTGGGCTTTGCTGCCACTGGTCAAAGGAACTACTGCTGGATCAGGAATTTTATTTTGTTAACCAGCTCCTCCTTTTATTTCCTCACATCAATCCTGTCTCTCTCAGCCTTCCTTCAAGCTCCACCAGGCCTAGAAAGGGTGGAGCCCAGCAGCTGCTGCCCTGTGTCTAAGAAAAAATAAACAAAAAGCTATTTATTTGGCACTCTCTTGTATGACGAGCTTTATGTAATCAAAAGAAGGCCAAGGTTGATGATACAGGTCTGGGCAGGGTTACCCGGAAGTCTCAAAGGTTGCCTGCACCTTTAGGGCATTTTCCAACCTTGCCAAGCAATGTCTGACCCAAAGTGGGCATTTGGTGACAATGGGTGATTGCTTGCAAGGCTCCCAACCCACTGGACACCTAGAAGCTCTTTCACATCTTTCTTCTGTGAAGAAATGGCATGTTGCCCATGGTGTACAGGTGGCCAGAAGAGCCAGAGTGCTCGGGCATCATCCCAGCTGGATCCGCTGGGCTTCTGTCAGTGAGAGGCCCTTCCTTGAGGGCAAAGCATGATGTCATCTCTAGATGCTGGCTACCTATAAGTGCAAAGAGCCATTGTATCTGAGATCCACCACCCACCCTCTACTAACATTGACCTTTCCTTTAACTAGGGCAGAATCAGTGTTCTAGTTGGTACACTGGAGAGACTTGAAAGGAAAGGGGGTATAGCCAGCCTGGAATGAGCATGTGATTGCCAATTAACATTATGCTTGGAGTCCTTTAGGTGAACCCAGCTCCTTCAGCCATGCCCAGCAGTCCCTCATGGCAGATGCTGTGCTTTGAGAAGCAGGAATAGCTCTATAGAGATAAACGTAAAAGACAGAGGTTGGTGTACCACCTCCCATGTGGCATGCATACACACATCTGAGCTGGGTGGACTTTGTCCGGGACACAAGGGTTATCTTCTCTCACATTAGAAATAAATGGGTCTCAGCTGGGTGTAGTGAGGCACTTGCATAATCCCAGCAACTTGGAGGCTGAGGCAGAAGGAATTCAAGTTTGAGGCCAGCCTTAGGAATTTAGCAAGTCCATCTTAAAATAAGAAATAAAAAGGACTGGAGGTGTAGCTCAGTGGTAAAGTGCCCCTGGGTTCAATACCCAGTATAAGGAAGAAAGAAAGGAAGGAAGGGGGTCTCTGGGTCAGCATTTAGAAAAGGGACTGACAGCAGCCAGTTTACAGGACACTTTCTTGCTGGGGTGCTGTCAGAATATAACCTCCATGATATGGCCCCTTCTGCAGGGATCTGGTTCTTTCCCCTCCTGTGGGCCATACGATTAGACATCTCAGAGCCTGTGGCCTTCACTTATTCTTCAGGAGTGTGTCAGTCATTGTTTTACTCAGGGAATGTTTGCCAGGGTGTGTCAGCTGTGCCAAGCTCTGCAAATTGCAAGAAACTGGAGTTAAGGGTTTTCACCTTTATGATGGTACAGAAGCAATACATATTCCGTTGAAACCATACTTCACATTTTGAATTTGATCTTTTCCCTGGGCAGCGACACATGGTAGGAGACTGTGGTGATGCTGGGCAGTGGCAACGAGCTGCAGCTCCCAGGGAGCCCTGCTCAATTGGTAGAGTGCTTGCCTAGCATGTATAAGGCCCTGGGTTTAATCCCCAGAACCACCAAAAAAAAAAATGTAATGGCAGTGGTTCAGGAGGCTGAGGCAGGAGAATCATGAATTCAAAACCAGCCTCAGCAATTTAGAAAGGCCCTTAGCAACTTAGTGAGACCCTGTCTCAAAATAAAAAGAGCTCGGGATATGACTGAGTGGCTAAGCACCCCTAGGATCAATCCCTGGTACCAAAAAACAAACAAACAAAAAAAGGAAAAACAGGGCCGACCTCTCCCACCTTTGGAGATACAGAGAAAAGGAGAGACCACACCGGCAAATCCCATGTGTTTGGTGCCCCTCAGACTGAGTCATAGGCTGATAGCCCAAGACCTGAGAGTGATCACGCTTCTTGACAACTAGGCCCACCATTCCAAGGCTTTTAGGCTTACCTCAGGGAAAGTTCTCACCTGACTTGGTTACTGTCATATTCCAGCTGGCCAGCACAGTGCCTGGAACATGGAAACTGCTGCATAAGTATTTGTGAGCAGAATCACAAGAGTCAAATCTAAATTCCTCCCAGGAATTGGTCTGAGATCATCTGAGAGTTACACCCGGCTTCCAAGGTCTTTCCTTCCTTCCCAGGGGAGAACAAGAATGCGTCTTGTTATTATAAAAGGGACATGTCAAATGCACCCTGGCCGCTTATGTCCTCAAGCTGGTCACTTGAGCTAGTTTGTCAAAGAGTATTTAGGCTGGTGTCTGAAACTAGGTCATGGTCAGGGTTCCACTGCCAAAGGGCAGAGTGGCCCATGTGCTTCCTTCCATCCCCCCCATGCCTTGGAAGTCTTCTGTGGAAAGCCAACTTATCTGGGTTTCTTGTTTATTCTGAAGTTCCTCAAACTAGTTCCTCAATTTCAGAACCAGTCACTAGTAACTACTGTGAACTTGAAATTTCCTCCCTTACAGGAGCCTGAGCCAGTCTTCATCTTCTCTTATTACAGGTAGACCCTGCCTGAAGCCAGTACGGCCTATAAAAACCAGATTTACAACCCCAAAAAGCAGGGGGTGGGGTTATATTTCAGAAAAATTGACTATATCCTAGGGTCCTGCTCCTTGTTCTGAATCTAATCTAAAAGGTCAAATAAGAGAGTTGCTTGTAATGATGGTCTCAAGTCTTGGCAAGATCATCAAATGCATTTTAAATGATCAAAGAAACTATGTTTGGCATGATTCTAGACTCAAGGACAGCAGATAGATATTTGGAAACTGGTCATTGTTGAATGGTATATACTGCAGCCCCTACTATATGCATGAGAATATTTAGTTACACAAAATATTCTAACTTGCAGATTTCAATGACACTTGAATTGTTTTGGCACAATATACATAAAAAATTCCTTGCTGTTTTTTTTTTTTTGGGGGGGGGGAGTGGGGCAGGGGTTGGAAGGGACTGGGGATGGAACCCAGGAGCACTTAACCACTGAGCCACATCTCCAGCCCTTTATAGATAGATAGATAGATAGATAGATAGATTTTTTTTTTTTTTTTTTTTTTTTTGAGACAGGGTCTCACTAAGTTGCTGAGGCTGTCTTTGAACTTGCAATCTTCCTGCCTTAGCACCTGACCCTCTGGAATTACAGGTATACACCACTGTGCCAGGCTCTGCTGCTTATTGTATAAAGTGAAGTACATGTGAGGTTGGTTTTTGTACTCACTACCATTTTCCCTCCATGTTCTCCCACATTCCAATTGCAAATTGACCTCTGTGAAGCAATGATGCTCTCTGGCACATGCTTTCCTTTTGTTTAGGCTGTCCCTGTGCACGGGATTTTAGCATTAAATTGAAAATGCCATTGTAATGCTATTTTTCTAAAGTTTATCAAATGTCCTTATCAGGGGCCTAGAGATAAAGTATCGACCATATTTATGACAATGGTAGTTGATACTGTAGGCTATGTTATAAAAGAATAATAATATAGACAAGAAGATTGGAAGCCAGGAACAGTAATACACGCCTATAATCCCAGGCTGAGGCAGGAGGATCACAAATTCGAGACCAGCCTGGGCAAGACTCTATCTCAAAATTTTAAAAGAACTGGGGATGTAGCTCAGTTGGTAGAGATGTTTAATCATTCTAGAGTTAATCACTCTATAAGGAATAATGTCTGCCTAGCATGTATGAGGCCCTGGGTTCAATCCTCCCAGTACTGGGGTGGGGTGGGGTGGCCTGGAAGCAGCAGACTTATAAAATGAATGGCAGATTTGAACTTTGTCATAGAGTTGGTCCTTGGGATGGGCCCTGCGCTGGTCTAAAGAACACGGGCTTGCCTTAGAGTCTTTGCTCCCCATTTCTTTCTCCAGAACATAAACTGGCTGTGTTCATGCTTCCTAATTAAGATGCTTCCTCCTGGGTCAGTCCCTGGGTTTCTCACCAACAAATCTTTGGCTTATGACAGCTTCTGCATTTGGGCCCCAATTTTAAAGTTTAGATCATTTGAAAGGGGATTCAGTGTCATGGCTATGAGTACGGGCTTTGATGTAAAAGTCCCCTGTGTAAATCCTTGCCCTTGCTATTTCCCTGCAGTGTTGCCTTGGGCAAATTACTTCATCGACTGAGTCTGTTTCTTCCTCCATAAAGGGCTTTCTCCGATTTGTGAGGATTGATACATAGCAAGCATTAATAGTTGTCACTAGTCGGGAGCTGTGGCGCACACCTGTAATCCTAGCAACTCCGGAGACTGAGATAGGAGGATCGTA